GGCGGCGGCGCGCTCTGGCCCAACATGGACACCGTGCTGCGCCAGGCGACCGGCCTGCCGGTTTCGGTGGCCGAGGATCCGCTGCTCTGCGTGGCGCTTGGCACGGGCCATGCTGTCGAGAACATCGTGCGGCTGCGCGGCGTCCTTTCTTCGATGTACTAACAGGCCGCGCCGCCGCCCGCTTGGGTTAGAATGGGCAGGAAATGGCGATTCGGGACGACTTCGAGGTAGTCGCGGGCCAGGTGCGCACGGTGGTGCAGCGCTTCGCTCTCGGCCTGCTCGTGATCGCCGCCTTCGGCATCATGCTGGTCGGCAAGGCCGACACTGTCCTGGTCGAACATGCCCGCGTGCTGGCGCTCGATGTCGCAAGTCCCGTCCTGGAGGCCATCGCCCGGCCGGCGGCCTATGCCAACCGGGCCATCGCCGATCTTCGTGAATTCGCCTCCCTGCGCGATGAGAACGCCCGCCTGCGCGAGGAGAATGCCCGGCTGCTCGCCTGGCAGACCGCGGCGCGGCGCCTCGAGAACGAGAATGAGGGGCTGCGCAGCCTCGCCAGGTTCCGCGAAGGACCCGAAGCCTCCTTCATCACCGCCCGCTTGGTGGGCGACAGCGTCAGCGCCTACATGCGCGGCGCCCTGCTCAATGTCGGCCGTCGGGTAGGCGTGGCGCCGGGCCAGGCGGTCGTGACAGGCGAGGGCCTGGCTGGCCGCATCGCCGAAGTGGGCGAGAACAGCTCGCGCGTGTTGTTCGTCACCGACGTCAATTCGCGCCTGCCGGTGCTGGTCGAGCGCACGCGCGAGCGGGCCATCCTGGCCGGCGACAACTCCCCCCGCCTGCGCCTCAGTCTTTTGCAAGGTGTCGCGGGCGTCCAGACCGGCGATCGTATCGTCACCTCGGGCCACGGCGGCAGCTTCCCGGTGGGCATCCCGGTGGGCGAGGTCGTCGAAACCAGCGAGGGCAGCGTCCGCGTTCGGCCCTTCACCGATTTCTCGCGCCTCGAATTCGTGCGCGTCGTCGACTACGGCGTGACCGGCCT